GGAGGGGGGGGTGAGGATATTTTATTTTCTTAGCCTGCTTGTGACAAAATGTTCTGGTCTGTCACTGGAGGTGTCACTGCCGGGAGAAAACTCGTGCCGCTGCCCGCTGCGGTGAGCTCAGAGCATGTTGCTAAGGGTCAGCCCCAGGCGGTTTCTGGAGCACCATCTTCTCTTTGTGGAGAGCGCAGAGCAGCAGCAGCACCCGGCTCAGAAACCGCTCCCGAAGCCATTCATGACTGAGGAACCCTCCGTCCCAGCCCAGCCAGACCTGCCGTCCTCCAACCTCACCAACGCGACGGACTGCGGCGAGGAGATCTTGCTCTATGGGGACACGGAGAAGATCGTCATCGGAGCGGTGCTCTCCATCATCATCCTCATGACCATCGCCGGCAACGGGCTGGTCATCATCTCCGTGTGCATCGTCAAGAAGCTCCGGCAGCCCTCCAACTACCTGGTGGTGTCCCTCGCGGCGGCCGACCTGTCGGTGGCCTTTGCTGTCATGCCCTTCGTGACCATCACAGACCTGGTGGGGGGAGAGTGGCTCTTTGGGAAGGTGTTTTGCAACGTGTTTATCGCCATGGACGTTATGTGTTGCACCGCCTCCATCATGACCTTGTGCATCATCAGCGTGGACAGGTAAGGGAGGACAAGGTACCCGCCATGTATTCAGGTGGGCTCGAATAGAAGGGTGTTTCTGGAGGTTGAGGGCCACTGGAACCATGTTCCCGGTTGGATCAATGCTTCCACATGTGTTTTCCAGGTGCACAGTGTTGCTGAGGGCTTTCTGTAAGAATTAAGTGCCTCGGTCCCTTCAGAAGAGCCGGGCTTAAGGTGCTTTCTGAAGTAACTTCTCTTAAGTTACAAGCTTAGTCCTCCCCCTCTAGGCAGCTGCTTCACGTTGTTCTTCCTTGGCTTGAGGAACAGAGCCTAGAGGATAGACCTGTGACCAGACCTTCTCCATGGAAGGAGGCTGGAACCTAAAATCACTCAAGAAAACAACTAAAAATAAACCCCACGTGCACTTTGAAAAGGTTATGGGGCTTCTGGAGCCCAGTCCTACGGGATGCTCTGCTGCTCCCTGGACTTGTGCCTTGGCTAAGGATGTTGGCAACTCCCCCCACCCTGTCCCAAGTCCCCCAAACCCCTGGTTTAGCCCAGCGCATGCATTTGTGAGGATTTGCTGGCTTCAGCTCCCGCACCTGGGGTCAGGAGAGAAAGGCTAAGCCCATCTGGCAAAACTGGCAAGACTCGGGCATGTCAGCACCTCCGTGGCTCTAATTATAGCAGCCTGCGTCATTAGGGACAGCGTGCTGACGAGCCGGTGGGCCAGATCCAGATCTGACGCGCGTGCCGGCTTTCTCGGGGGGTTGGTTTGGGTTTACGCTGGCACCGCTGAGCCGCGCTGGTTTGTGATAAGCAGCTCGGGGAAGGGAGGCAGAAGCGTGCCTTCGGCTATACCACCTCCCTGGTCACTCTCCCCGGGTGTGAAACCAGGTGACAAAGCAAAAAAGGACAGAAGGAAAAATCCTGATGATGATGATGATTGCCGTTACCCCCCTGGCAAGCAAACAGCAAGTCCTGCTCCGAAGCCCTCGCCCCCTGCCAGCCGCTGCTCCCCTACGAGCTGCCCTTCGCAGCCCTGATCAGCTCAGCGCTGCTGGTTAGAAAGCAAAAATCCCTCGCAGGCCACACAGCAAGGTCCAGCTCTTCTGCTGAACTCGATCTGTTTTAATAAAAAGCCTGTTTGTAAAAAAAAAAAAAAAAAAAAAAAAAAAGTGGGTCTGTTCAGAGCTGCCAGAAGCCTGTCTCTGTTAGAGGGAAGAGATTAAATGCAGTAATGAAATATGTCAATGCTTCCTCTCGATGAGTGAGGAGCAGAGAAGCAGCTGCACACTGGCTTTGCTTTAACAATTTCCCTTCCCTTTCCCTTTCCCCTTTCCCTTTCCCC